CTCTCTCTCTCTCTCTCTCTCTCTCTCTTCCTTTCTCTCTCCCAAAATAAACAACCACGGGTCACTCACCTGTGCAAACACCGAGAGCAGGAACACCCAGGGTAGGAACAGACCTAGACTTTTCACCATTTTGAGGCGTGGTCGTGTACTTTTGGACAACTCCAACACTCTAAGTGAGCCTATCTCACTGTCATAATCCACACAGACGCCTTGTCATGTCTTCAAGAGCCACTATCTCATTCCGCTGTTTTCCAAGAAAGAAAGAAAAACACAAACATAAACATCTCGAAGTAGAGTTGAATTTTTCGTTCCAAACAACACAGTGAAATTTTAGAAATTTAGAACCAAGGGTAAAGAAAAAAATAAAGGTATGAAAGTCCAGTTATGTTAAGTGTAAGTTAAACGCAGGCTCAAATGAATTGGACGACCTAAAGAGTTCTGATCCAACGAAGTCTCTTATTGAATAGGGAAGGGTGCCTTCCCTTTCCAAGACGAATTATGTATAGAAATTTGGCAGCTAGGAGTAGAGCACTTATTGTCTCAGTGCCATTTCCATAAATTAAATAATCAGCAACACGTAGAGTTTACAATGTTGTTATCGCGGGTCTTAAACATAAACTCTAGACGTGTAATACGCTTTAAACCATAGACGTATCAACCATATTTTATTGATATTGATAGTTTTAAAAAAATTGACCAGTATTCATGTTGAACTGCGTACAAGTCTCCAGTGGGACATGAATGACACACCATAGAGGGGTCAATAATTCGTGGCGCAACTGATCCTCCTAATATATCTCTTTAACAGGTGAATCAATTTCACCCATACATTGGACAGCAGTTTGTATAAATTTTTCTAAACCTAATCATATTTTCCCATGACAACTGAGGCTAGTTAAAAAAAATTGTCTCTATAAATTAGCATAAAATACTATTAACCTCAGTCATGCGGAAAATGGGATTGTTCACAGCACTTCCCGCTTTTCACATACATGTTGCATGTGCATATTATGGCCGACGTCACAGCTCACCAATGACACCTTTTAGTAGCAAAACTTGCTACAAGAAATTAATTAGGGAGCACTTTTTTTGTAATATGTGCTCAAAAAATGTGCGTTTAATAAGCAAACGCGGATTTACTTTTAAAAGCTATATTGTCTCAGCTGTAAACCTTTGAAAATCTGTAGTAACCACCTACTCGGATTTTTAAGTAGTAGTTATTAGGGAATTTTCTAGAATACAGTCAACAGGTGTTTACAAAAACATTGATCTGTTACGACAAACTGATGCAAGTCATTGTGCAAAAGCTGGAGACTTTGTGTTTGATAGTTGAGGAAATATTTGACAATAAGTTGCCCCTCGAATGTTTGACCGCACTATAAACGTTTCAGGCACTGCAAAAGAGATCTTGTGCGATATCAGTAGGCCTTTGGTATCTGTTTCAGATCTATCAATAACTATTGATCATGAAATAACAGTCTGATCAAAGAGAACTGCTACTGGCAGGAAAACGAAACAAAAAGTGACAGAACGTACAGAGAGAAAATATGTGAGTAGAGTTCAAAGTTCCTGGTGCAAAATTGCTTTTAAAAATGTCATAACTATCACGTCTTCTAAAACAACGGTATTAAAAAAAGAGATATTTAAACGTGTACAAAACTCAATCGAAGATCACAAGTGAATGTATATTAGGATGTCTGAAGAGATGATAGATAGATAGATAGATAGATAGATAGATAGATAGATAGATAGATAGATAGATAGATAGATAGATAGATAGATAGATAGATAGATATATTGATAGAGAGATAGCAAGATAGATAGAAAGATAGACAGACAGATAGATAAGTATATATATATGTGAATAAATCATTTATCGAAAGAGACAATGAGAGAGAGGGAGAGAGAGGGGGAGAGAGAGAGGAAGGAGAGAGAGAGAGAGAAAGAGAGAGAGAGAGAGAGAGAGAGAGAGAGAGAGAGAGAGAGAGAGAGAGAGAGAGAGAGAGAGAGAGAGAGAGAGATATGAGGGGGGGGGGGGTGTTAAGAGCAATACTAGGGTTCCGTTTTTCAGGATTTGGATTTGCTTAATTAAGAATTTTTACGGTGATTAAATTTGACGAGAGGATATTTTGTAATTATTTTTAGGCCTTTCTTTTGAAAGTAATATTCATAATTAAAAGGCAAATGGTATTTTTTTAAATTTGAGAGCATTCATCCAGACCACTCTTAAGGGCTTGTTTAGCCCAAAATGGTGACAAACGTTCGTAAAGAGTAAACTCAGCAGCCACAACAAAAATTGTTTGACTTTTTGCTGTAATGTTGTGATACAAGTCACTGAGATGTTCAAAATCAACATAGTCAACTTAAATAACCCGTTAAAGAATAACCGGCAAGGGACAGAAACATCATTTGGATCCCTCATCGCGACAGTTGTGGGGTAGGAAGAGAAACTTTCCCATCAATTTAGAGCGGTACTTTAAATTCAGGGATGAAGGAAGGATATTAGGCTGGTGTCAGTGGAGTAGCATTTAGGTGCTTCGCCGTCGAGTGCAGAAGATTCAAATTCGATTCTCTTGTGGAGATAGAGAGATATTTGTCGAGTATCTCTGCTTGAATGTTGTTACCCTCTCAGCCCAGGTTGGCCCTGACAGACAGGGTGGAAACCTGCCTCCTGAATGATGTAAATTGTGTTGAGAGAGGTGTAAAAATGCAGACACACTAAAAAAAAAAAGGAATAAAAGAAATGATGATACTCGAAAGTATAAATATCCTATACATAATAAGCATTTTATTTCAGGGGTACTGGCAAAACAGGAACAGGGAGGAGGAGGAAAAGTGTGTGTGTGTGTGTGTGTGTGTGTGTGTGTGTGTGTGTGTGTGTATGTATGTGTGTGTGTGTGTGTGGGGGCCCGTACTCAATTTACACAACCGTCCTCCCTCTACCCCCCCCCCCCCCCCCCCATCCACATTCTTCTGAACCCTGCCTTCGTCACTATTAGGACCCCTGTTTGTTTGATCTTCTGTGATACCCTGGAATACACGTAATTAATTTTAGCTCACGTGCTTAGCTTACGCCTATTGACAGAACAATCCCGCAAACAGCGAAAGTAAACGTAGCTCTAAGAATGATGGAGAGGTTTTCAACAATTAAATTGATCACGCAAAGAATGTGAATGTGGTGCATTGTGTAAATACAATATGCCCCCAAAAGAGCGCTTTTGCGCGGGTAAACTTGAAAAGTTCGAAAGTCATGTTGCGATATTGACAAAGTTCATCCATGTGGAATTTGGACGTCAGTTCATGTTGTCACACCTTACCTTTTTCAGGATCACACTTTTTTTTACTAGAATTCTTTTCACGACGTTAAAAAGAAAGTACTGTTTTCGCCAACGTACGAGACTACACGTTCACAAGAGATTCACAATAAATCCACTATGACTTATAAACGAAGTTGATTGAAACCCAGGCCACGAACTATGATGAACGAATTTTAAAACACGCTCAGAGACAACATTACATATTACATAAACGATGTCATAAAATTCTTGTTTGATAAGAGATTTTGCTTTCTAATTTTCTTCTCAGTAGAAACAGATCATAACTACCAAATTCGTTGTGGCAGGCGGGTGAATGTAACTTAAACCGTAAGCAACGAGGGAGTTTAGCATTCAGAAATTTTTTACTAATGCTGCTTTAAACGAGGGCCAAGGTTCATAGGGTGACTGCCATTCTCCACGCAATGACTTCCGAATGGAATATCAATTTCATGGCGTTTTCTTTTATAATGTTTCTATCTTCTTATTTTTGTGTTTTCTTTCGTAATATTTCTTTGGCTCCGAAAAGAGTAAATTGGGGGGAGGGGGGAGGGTCAAAATATCGGCTAGAAATAGAAGAGGAAAGGGGGTAAGAGAGATTTTCTGAGGCTTTGGAAACCTCACCCAAAGGGGCGTTCACCCGATACACCTGCATTGAGGCACCCTAGCAAACCCATTAACGTAAGCTATAAAAAGAATCCTTTTCTGCCCTGTTGTGGAACCGTACTTTCGTGGCCTTCGGCGTGATTAAAAACTCATTTTTTTTCTGACTGTCGATGTATGTCATACAACCTGTCCTTGATATGAATAAAAGGGCTTTCTTTGCTAATAAAAAGCAAGTGGAAAGAGTTTTGATTTCAATTCTTCATATGTATTTGGTGCGTTTCGGTTTGCTTGGGTCGTTGACGCTGTAATGTTGTCAACAAGCAAAGAAACAGAACAACGAAATATCTTCGAGCTTTATGTTAGTCTTTGTTTGTGATGTTACTGATTTTGATGTTGCTGATGTTGTTGTTGTTGTTGTTTTCGTTGTTACTGTTGTTGTGGTTGTTGATATTATTATTATTATTTTTGTTATTGTTGTTGTTATAAATGATGTTGTTTATGTTGTTTTATTTCTGTTGTATATTTTAAAAAATACTGTTGTTAGTTTTCAAAAGACCTACCTGTTTATAGAGTATGTAAAACTCAAACAGAAACAAAACTATTCAGTTCATTGTCTCAGGAACGGATCGAGGTTTCGCTATAGAGCTTTTCATGTTGTGATAGTAAAATATAATAGAAACGGCACATCATTATCAAGAGCACCACGTGTTTTGCTTGCTATGAAGGGCACTCTTGGAGCTTGATGACTAATAGGCAAAGTGACATACGGTCTGCATTATACTGACTACGAGTACTCTATAATGCCGAGGGAAATCAATATTCTATATACAAATAATTCATTATTAATATCAAACCAAGCCCGCAAGCTACGCATATCAACAGGTGAAAGTGGATCCTCTATATGTTCAAAATGTGGCAAACCTTTCTCTGTCAGAATTAGTCTCATCCTCCACGGCAGGAGCCACAAGTCATCGTGACCTTTAATTCTTCGAATTCTTATATTTCCCTTGAGAAATAATCTCCTCTATGGATGTACTGATCATCTTCACACATTGACGGACTAAACATTATTTCTAATATCAATACTAACCCAGATGGTAGGAGATAGCTCCTATGTGATTTCCTTAAGAGCTGAGCATCTGTACTGAAAACTTCATATAGCACCCACACATCTTTCCACACGAACCCTAGGCCTACATTGAAAACAGACACACACACACATACACACACACACACACACACACACACACACACACA